ATATTTATCACACCTGATCATATATACATATTTTATTTCGTCACGTCGGGCGGTAACGTGGGGACTTGTGCTCTCAGGTGAGAAATATGCTGAGGTGGTTGTATCAGCCAAGGTTGTCAACATAAAACCTCTCCTTCGTCTCACTCTTGTTTTGCCCCCGCCTCTCATTCCTTTCCTAATGGAAGTAGGGAGCAGTAGAAGGAGCCGAACGGGGCTGTTGACCTTTCATATGATTTGGAGTGGTGGGATCTTCTTTGAGATGAGGGATTCCCAGTGCTATCGGGCCGGCAGCACCATTAAAGGAAATATAGAGCGGGCCTGTGGAGTCCTTTTAAAAGAGTCAGCCCATTACCAGTGCTTTATGGTCTAATTGGGAGCTTGTCTCGTCTATAGGAGAGAGCGCTTGTTTATGTCCCACCAGGTTATAGGTAAGCAGAAGAGGGGAGGTTATAAAATCGGTCAAGGTAAAGTTTACATTAAGGCGTCAGGATGCCTGACGGGTGTCAATGGAAAACAGAGTGTAAGAAAAGCACTGATGCAGCGAAATGGGTGGAGAAAAAAAAGTTATCCGATTGCTAAAGCACATTTGTCTTGTTTCGTAAGAGTTTTTTTTCTGTCTTTTCTGCAGGGTTGGAGGTGGTGAATTGGACGCGTTCGGAAGCTTGTTGTTGATCTTTAGCACCACCTGCAGGTCAAAGGAGTCCAAGTCAGTCATTTATTCTGAGAACAAGAAAAAGGAAAGAAAGAGAGCTCACGCAGCAGTTCTCAAAATAAAGATAAACATTTACTCTCTGCTAAGCTGCGGGCCCTCTGGAAAACGCTGATAAAAACACTGACGCAAATGAACATTAAAAATACATCTTACAGAGTATTAATTCCGAAAAGAACCGTATGGAATCGCTGCAAGTGACTGGTAATGAATCTTACTGGGCGGTTTGCTTTAATGGGGAGGGAAGTGTATAGGCTTAGCATAAGGTAAACACACGGCTCGCCCCATCTGTCCCGCACGTCTAAGTGTAGCGTTTGCCTCCAGGCTGCTGCATTGTTTTACATCCGCTGGCTTGTTTCAGCGGGTCGGGCCGATGTGGGATTTATAACTGATGGACCCGCACACCCAGCTCATGCTGAAACGCAAGCGTTCACATTTCCAGCAAACACCCAAGCCTTTCCACTGAGACTTCTGAATGGCAAAGCCATCCATCTCTGTGAAGGACAGAGAGGGGGAGAGGGGCGACGAGAGAAATTTTCCTGTAAAATCCGACGAATGTTTTATGATTGCAGCCCGTGCTGAAGTGTTTTTAGGCCCCCAGGAAGCAGATTAGAATATATATGGGTGAACATTGCATAGCGGCAATCAACATTTCCTCCAGCTCAGCACAAACCCAGATGAGATCAATAACATATTAGGCTTGTGTACATAGCAATGAGCTCAACGATCACCGGAGTCGTTTAGGACACAGCGAGAGAGGCCGTGATATATTATTGACCAGACATACAAGACAAGCCAGTCTCATGGGAGGGCTGAGTGTGTGTGTGCGTGCGCACATCCATGTGGTAACAGTTGCTTTACATGACAGATAATCATCTGTTCACTGCAGTGTGGTTTTTCTGCTACATCCTGTGCAGTGACAGGATGAAAACTCTTACAAAAATGTACGATAGTTTCCACCAACATTGATACAAATGTAGCTATACTGTATTTGCATATAGAGAAAGTTGGGGGGGGGGGGGATATGTTGTTGTTGTTAAAAACAATAATTATGCTTTATAAATTCTGGTTGGAAATCACACTATTCAACTTAGTATAAAGTAATTTAAATCAAATATTAAAATAAACTAAAAAAAAAATTATACAAATAAATAATTAGGCCTTTATACAATCTAGCTACCTTTTTATATTTTAGGAAGGGGGTCCTTTGCAATATTATTTGGGGATTTGTGACATCAAAACATTTGAAAACCTGTGCTCTATGGTGATGCACAGAGATTTTGGAGATTTTTTAAGTAGCTTTTATAAATATGCCTTCGAAAAAAAGAAAAAAATTCCATTACTGATGTGCATCTTGAGACAAAACAATCGCAATGACACTGTGTGATTTTTACCCCCATCTAGCGGTGAAAAGGTATATGATCATCCAGTGAATATTAGTTTCTGTCCCTCTCAATTCCGATTTCGTTTTAACACCTACGGTGGCCAATGTGGTCCAAGATTATCATGGCTTCCAGTTGGACCTCGTCCATGATTGTTAACTCAAACGTAAACGCGAAAGGCGAAGCTTGAATTAACGGGTATGTCCCTCTTTGGCTAATGTACTTTCAAGATGGAGGGGCAACATGGCGACCGACATTAGAACCTTTTACCCGTATGTATTTTCAATGGCATATTATACACTCACGAGAATACTTACTTGAACGAAGTAAATATACATTAATGAGCACATATATTTTTGAAAGAACTAAGTGTTTTTTTAGCTAAGAATAATCTGCACAGTGTAGATTCAAGAAAACAGATCAAACAAGCATTTTTAGTCTGGGACTTTGTCTGTGAAACCGGGGGGTTATGTAATAGGCCTACTGTATTTTACTGGAACGCTTTATTGACTAGTCAGCATTCAGGACCGGAACAATGTGTTTTGTGATCAAAGTGGAGGTGGATTTATATAATTTATTAAAAAACATATATATATTTTACCTGAAGCTGTTGAATTACCGCGGTAGAATTTTATAAACCCAATCTCTTGCTCCTGGTAAAAGCTGCCTCTGAGGCGACACAGGTTTCCTTGAACTGCCACAATGATCTCGGGTACAGTCCTAATCATTTCCCTTCAGCATTCGCAATGCCTTACAGACTTTAAGACGGCCCCACGGGAGCCCGAGTCACCATAGACATAATGTATTAGGCCATGCTTGTCTTTACAGCTAGTGATGGATAGATATAATATTCAAGGAGCCTGCTGAATAATGCATATGGATATTTTAATGTTTCATTCGTGGTCAAGTCTGGAAGTGAGGAGGATATCTTTGAGGATTGACCTGTGTTCTGCTATTCCTCAGACTGCTGAGGTGTCGGTGTGTGTGTGTGCCTTATTAATTCTATGATATTCCCCTGACTCAAACACACACAGAAAAACAGTGCATGATTTGTCATCCCATGTCTAGTTTTCATCTTGATGCATTACCCCTGCATTGAATAGAATCACCCATATTAGTTCAAAGACAAATTGAGTATTTTTAGTGTATCACTGTCTGTCTTCTAAAACGCCATGCATTTTATCCATTTGCCTGCTAATAGAAAGTGATAGCGCCCTTATATGTACTGCAAGTGTATTGTTTCCTCACAGGTGTAAATTATTGGTCGTTATGTGATTACCTTGCTAGTGAAAGTCCTTTCCGACGCACCTGTTCGGACATCCGACAGCACATCCGATAAGAGAAATCCGTGAAGGCCGAACAAATTCGCCCGGCACGCGTGTTCCAGTAGCTTCCCGCCTTGAGGAACAGAATGCTCCGAGACTAAAATACGCTCACTTGTCTGCCTGGAAGCACATCAGACTTTTAAAGAGGAGCTTTTGTTGGCAGTCCTCTTGCATTCGTCCAGCCTTTCTTTTCATTAACTTGAATGGTATTCCCATTCCATTCCTAACTGGCATCGCTCACAAAGGAGGACTGATTTGATTTACGCTGCATTAAATTCCCCTCGATTTCATTTTGGAGACTGTAAAAGAGGAGAAGAGGATGAAATATCTGGAAACAGATCTAGGAGTCATTATTGCATTCATGATGAAGTATCTAGAATGGAATTCATTTAAACACACAGTGAGCTTAAAATCCCATCTACCAAACAGTTTGAAAGGGCCGAAACTTTTGGAGCATTTATTTTTGTTATATTTTGTTATATTTTGCTATCTGCCAGAAAGCTAAAAAGAGACAAAGGGTCTTCTCTGTTGTAGCATTTCGTATTTTCTACGAATTACACTTTCATGTTTTTCAGTTTTTTTATGCCAAAAATGTGATGTGAACTTTTGACTCTTTCTATCTCTCGTTCTGTGTCATCATTAACTAGAATTAAACAGGCTATTTGCTGTACCTTTAGACTTCTATATATAAATGACCTCTATTATGGTTGGCCAACCTCTGCATAGCGGTGTAGTTCTTACTGTCTTTAATAACTTTTAATGACTGTTTCTGACCCATTTTTCACAGCTTAATTTACATAAATAGTCTGAGTGGACTGGGATGGATAACAGACTTCTGTTTTTAGTAAATATTGAGTCCATATGGTGTAAAAAAAAATGTGGTGTTTGCGAAAGCAGGCATTTTTATTAGAATTGCTTGTATTTACAGTTAGAGATTTAAGCAACTTTAGTGCAAAAGTCAACCTGCAGTATAACGTGTGTTCTGTTCATTTCTGACTTAAACTGTTTGCCTGGTGAAAAAATAAGAAGCTCAACGTACATTGAAAGAGGTCTAGAACAATATAGACTTGAGGGTGGGCACTTTAATTAACTTTATTTACTCATTTTAATGCTAAATTGTTGTAGTTAGAGTCTTAATTGAAAAGATGTAGGTGCTTAAGGGTCCCTGGTTAATTCATCGAGCACAAGATGTTTTTTTCCTGCTCTTGCGATCAGTCGCTCATTGTGTTTTGTCCTCCTGTGGAGTCTTCATTAGCTCTGACATTTCCTATCAGTCCTGTCCTGTCATAGTGGGTTTCCTGCTGCATGTCTGAGGTCTGAAACTCCAGGGCCCAGACATATGGCTCCTGACCACACATACACTGTCCTGCCAAGACCTCTACCTGCTGAGACTAACCTTTCTGCGTACGTGTGTGTGTGTGTGTGTGTTTCAGCCCATCTGAATCAAGAGCGAGAAAAGCGGGTGGTGTTTCTCACAGCCCGCGTTCACCCTGGAGAATCACCTGCTTCCTTCATCTGTCAGGGTAAGACCTTGTCTCGTCTCGACGCGCACATACACAGCCCGATGATGTCCTGAGATCCTGTAATCTGCTGAGATACAAAACACTGACCAGCAGACGTTTGGCCTCGCTGGGCTTCAACGCTTTTCCTTTTGTACTTTAAGTTCTCCGCACCGTTGGGCTCCGCTGCGAGTGAAGGTCAACCGACGAGCGGAAACACAGGAGGTCAGGGAGTGTACGGCAGATTAGAGGAAGTGTCAGCTCATCTTCTCTGCATCACTCCTAAATCTGTTTAAAGCCGCCGATGCAAAGACCTTACCTGTCATGGAGCACCACACTTGCTGACACAACAGTCTGACAAAATGCCCAGATTTCAAAGTCAATATCATCAATAACATCAATTCTATAGAAAAAGTCTGCTTTCACTTTGCGTTACAATACAGAGACGTGTCTTTCCTGAAAGCGTCCTTGACAAATGACGAGACGATGCATTCTTTTCACTGGTAAATTATGTTAGAGGGATCCATAGCTTAATGTCAAATCATTATTGCCTATCTTTGTTGCCCTAGAATGGACGTCTTTAAAAGGGTGTCTCCTGTAAAAAAATATGCATTGGACAGCAAATCCCATTTTATATATATATATATATATATATATATATATACAGTATATATTATATACTGTATATATATATATTATATATATATATATATACATACTGTATATATATATATATATACTGTATATATATATATATATATATATTATATATATATATATATATATACTCTATATACTGTATATTGGCATGCAAATGTTTGGGGATGGGAAGATTTTAGTTTCTCACGCTCACTTTCACTTTTACTACATTTATTTGACTAAAATAAGGAAATAAAAAAACACAGTAATATTGTAAAAATAATTATACAATTTAAATAGTTTTCAACTATAATATATTAAAAAATGTAATTTATTCCTGTGGTGGCAAAGCTAAATTGTCAGCATCATTACTCCAGTCTTCACATTAATCCAGTGTCACATGATCCTTCAAAAATCACTCTAATATGCTGATTTGGTGCTCAAGAAACATTTCTTATTATTCTCAACAGTTGTGCTGTTTAATATTTTTGTGAAAACCATAATACGTTTTTTTTCAGGATGATGTGTGTTAGTGGTTGATATTGGCCATTTTGAAATAGCCATTGCTCAGTTAACAATAGTGTCAGCTTTCACTTTTGTAATTTCTGAAATATGAAAGCAATATTGCCATAAGAAACTACTTATTGGCAATTGGCAACCGCATAACACCCTGGTAAGTGCTCGCAACATCATGATGACATTTTCCTCAAATTTTCTTTTAAAAATGTTAAATGTAATTTATTCATTTTTTTGTTAACTTACCAATATTAATACGTTGCATATTTGTATATATCTGCATGACTTGAGCCATCTGTCGACCTGCATTATATTCAGCCACTAAAAACAACACAATCATTCCACCACCTCCGTGTGCATCCAAATCATTTTGCACTGTCTGCTGATGTAGTTAGTAATGGTTCTGTCTCGTCTAAGCCCAAATCTTCATGCTGCTAATTAATTACTGAGTTCCGACTTGTTGTAATTCTGAAGAGGGCTTTTATGCTTAACTGAAGTTTGGTCAATACGACGCTTCAAAGTCACCTGCCCTGCCACCTTAATAGCACACACATGCGGGTATGCATGAATAAATATAGGAACTTCAAGCAATTAGATAGCATAGCAGTGTGGCCTGCCTCTGTGCCACATTGACTCAATTAGAGAGCTTGTTATGCCTCCATTAGCACTAATGAGCAGGACAGAGTGGGTGAGGGGTTGAAGAAGAGGAGGGAATGAGATGGGGTCTGCCCTCTCTCACATGCAAACTCCTGCTCTCTCTTTATATGCTTCTTGTTTACCTGTCAATTATTCGCTCTCAATACAGGGCAAATGGAAGGACAAGTGACTGCCACTATCGACATACCTTTCTCTCCGTCTGTCCTCTGTCTGTCTCTCTTTTTCATTTTTGTTGCTCTAATTAGTATGATCTTTGCTGTATAAATCTCTCTTTCATTCTTTGTTGACTGTTTCATTCCATTTGTATTGACTGGAGATGTAAGCCTCTGATATCAGCATCTGATTTTTATGCCTTTTATACTCTATTTTGTTTTTGTATAACTCAATTTGCACTGGGATGAACTTTTGCATGTCAAGAGCAAGGCTTAATTGTGTGTATTTGTGTGTCTTTACTGCAGGTTTCATTGACTTTCTGGTCAGCCACCATCCCACCGCTCAGGTCTTGCGAGATCATGTGATCTTTAAGATCGTCCCCATGCTCAACCCTGATGGCGTGTACCTGGGAAACTACAGGTCAGCTGAAACGAACGAATACACCCATAATGTGTGAGATATTATGTGACAACAGTCGTATAGTTTCCAATATCACAAATCTTATGGTTTATACTAGTAATTTAAATATAATGTAGATATTTAATATAGACGTGCTGCATGTTTCAGAGTAAAAGTGCAGCACTATGTTCATTTTCAGCTTCGATTCACAGTAAATGCTACTCTTCAAGTGCTGTGTGTTGGAGATTATAATTGGCATTTGGGAATGCAACAAAGAGGAGCGTTAAGGTCTCACTGAGTTTTCCCCAAAAAATAAAAGCTCAACGTTTTAACGTTTTAAACCAAAGAGATCAGGACAAACATGTAAGTATTGTAATTTTACTGTTGTTCTGTAAAATAAAGTAATAATAATGATAAAAATAATTATTGTTATTAATAATACTAACAAGAATAATTAACAAGTCTGTTAATACTTTTATTATATATTGTATTATAATATGATGTATTATGATTTCTTCATTTTAAAGTACAATGGTATGTGCTATTGCTATATTAAGATATGTATAATATCTATTAAAATATTATAATATAATATAATATAATATAAAAATGATTGCCAGTTCAGGTTTTCCTTTTGTCCTTACTTTTTTTACATTACTATATTATGTCATCATAGTCAAAGCCCCTGATCTGCCACAGTATTTTATAAGATTTTTTATTTTATTTTAGTAAACATCTGCAGATGTGAATTGGAACACAAGTGTGGCCATTCTACTCTAGGGCTGCAGTTGGTGTTGTCACTGCTGCACGGCAGGTGTTGTCTTCACTCCTAATGCCATTATTGGCTTTTATATACTGGTTGCGATCATTCTGAATACAGCTGTGGCCCGCTACGGTTTCACAATAGGCCTGCAGAAACTGCGTCAGTGGCTGCCACCTTGTGCTGGCTTTGTGAACTGCAGAGGTGGATCAATGGTTCAATGGTGGTGACAGGGCTGACATACGACATATGCCACCACTGACCCTTTAAGGGGTGCTCTCAGCAGCAACTTTAACCGATGCTGCCTCACAGAGAGCCATTGAGATCCATAATTAGAGATCAGATCTATTTCTCTCTTTCTCTCTTTCCCTCTCTCTCTCTCTCTCTCTCTGTGCTGAATCAGTAGTTTTTCAGTTGAGTGAGAGAGAGGCTCAAGCAGATGCAGGAGGGGATGTGGGATCAATCCTTGCTGACTGGGGATTAGTGTTGTTCTGAGAGCAGCAGCATTGACTACAGGTTCAGCTCAAAGTCACAGTCACAGAGTCTCAGCTGGACAGCAGCAGGGACTCAGGCATCTGTCCGGCCCCCACATCAGTCCACTGCCTCAGGGAAAGGAAAATAACAATCAGGGACCTGTTGGAAAGATGGCTTGAGATGACATGTGTCCAATGGTGTGGAAGAAAAAAACACTCAATGTTGCCCAAAACACCAGAGAACTGTGCTTTATGTCTGTAAATTTAGAGCAGTGTTAAGGTCTTTATTATGGACCATGATTGCTTTAATACAGGCATTAAAGTGTTTATAGTTTAATAATTTTTTAATTTTGAATTCTCAAAGTATAGTGACATATGAAATAGTTCACCCAAAGAAAAAATTGTCAACATTTATTTAAGCTATGCTTAACTTTCTTCTGCCGCACACAAAAGATATTTTAAACAGATTAAAGTCAGTGTCATGTTTTTTTTTTCCAGTGTTGTTTTAGAGAGCATTAAAGGAGTAGTTCACTTTTAAAAAAACTTTTGCTGATAATTTACTCACCCCCATGTCATCCAAGATATTCATGTCATTCTTTCTTCAGTCGAAAAGAAATTGAGGTTTTTGGTGAAAACATTCTAGGATTTTTCTCCATATAATGGACTTCAATGGGAACCAAATGGTTCAAGGTCCAAAAGACAGTTTCAGTGCAAACTGCAAACTGTTCAAAGGGCTTTAAATGATTCCAGACGATGAATAAGAGTCTTATCAAGCGAAACGATCGCTCATAAAAAAAAAAAAAAAAAAAAAACCTCAATGCTCGCCTTGGTCTGTTCTGTGATGCGCGTTCGTGACTCTCCTGTTTGAACTCGTTCATCAAAATGAACAAATCTTTTTTCGTGTCATTTGGTTCATTCAACGAACGAAATAAACGAGTTGACTCTGGAAAAGATTATACGAGATCGAACAGGAGAGTCACGAACGCGTGCACTGAAAACTGTCTTTTGGACCTTGAACCGTTTGGTTCCCATTGAAGTCCATTATATGGAGAAAAATCCTGGAATGTTTTTATCAAAAACCTTAATTTCTTTTCGACTGAAGAAAGAAAGACATGGACATCTTGGATGACATGGGGGTGAGTAAATTATCAGCAAAAGTTTTTTTTAAAGTAAACTACTCCTTTAACTTTCATTTCATGAACAAATCTGTTGTGAATCCTTTGTTTTACAGAAGAAAGTAGAGATGACACTATAATGACTATCCCTTTAAAACACTTCTTTTAACCCAATCATGATCTAGCCACAATGAAAATGTGTAAACAGCATTTGAAATCTGAAATGAAGTGAGTAATATGTAATTCAAGTGATCAAGTTGGCATGTTTATGACCGACGTCACAGCCTTTACCTTAGCCTTCACAGCAATTTGGTGTTTTTCACCTCTTATTTGCATAAAGTTGATTACTTAACAACTTTTTGATGATTACTCCTCTCCACTGTCAATCCCACAATCCCCTGTGTGATCCTGCTGCTCATCTCCCATAGAGAATGAATTGAAAACACTCTCTGTGCTCTGCTCACTCCGCACGAGTGGACTTGTACTGTGTGTGTGATTTTCTGCAGTTCTGACTGCAGAATCTGTGTGGATTTCACTTTGAGCTTGACTGTGATGATGTTGAAACTCAATAACTTTTTACCACTTCAAGTAAATAACATGAAAACTTGAAGTTTCACTTGATTAGTTTTTATTTCTGTTTCACTGCACTGGATAGCCCCACCCACATTGAATCAAATTGCTCCATGGCTGTACATTCAACATCAAAGGATATTCGCTGTGATATTGTCGCTTTGCACGGTATTTTGCTCTCAAGTCTTACAAAGTGTGTTGGTGTTTTGTCTTTTTTTTTCATTTAGTTGAACTTTTGATTTGTTTGTTTCTATTTTAGGTGTTCTCTAATGGGTTTTGATCTGAACCGTCATTGGCAGGACCCTTCCCCTTGGGCCCACCCCACTCTACATGCCGTCAAACAACTTATTGTCCAAATGAACCAGGACCCAGTGAGTATCCAATACACTAAAGCAGCAAAACCCCAAATGCAACCTACAGTCTATCAACACGAGGACAATAGAGGAAAGTGATGACTTATAGTGATATTATGCTGTCTTGAAAATGGTGTTTTTCTTTTTTTATGATTACATTTTTGTAATTATATATAAGCTCCTTCACTATTATCAACAGCTATTGTGTTTCTCAGGAGCTAATTACCCTCCTCCATCTCTAGCTCTTCCTCTCATGCAGTCAGTATGGCACTCTGATTCCCCTTCAATCAGAATAAATTCTTGAATTATGTTATACTTAAAAATCTTGAATTAATGAGATATGGAATACATTCATGTTGGTTCTGTTCTGTTTACTCTGTTTGCTTGGCTGCATGGATGCTCAGGGAGTTCTAGCCCAGAACAGAACCATACCGCCAATGCGTTTTGTTTTTTTCAGCTTTTTGATAAAAAAAATTACTTTTTGTATGGTGTTGTTAAAAATGACGCTAGAATAATGGTGTTTGTTTGCCTAAATGTTCTATGCTATGTTCTTTCTTTTGATATATTGCATGTTCAGATATTCATATAAAATGTTATGGGGGCCATGAAAGTTTTGTGAAAAATATCAAAAATGCTGGTGTTGGTGGGCAACTTAAAAAAAAAAAAATACTCTTAAAAAATAATCATGTTTTCAAACTGAAATTTAATCTGCCATGATTGGTTGATTGATAGATCCTGCCCCAAAACTGACAAATGAATATTTCATAGCACCAAAAAATTGCTACGTTTTATAGGCTGGGGGGAAACAACCTTCACATGGCTCACTTATAGTTCTCACTATATGTCAAAGTAGGTTAGTAAGTATTTTAACATTGAGATTTATGCAAAAAGGCACACATTTAGACTTTGTCTTTGAAAGGTTATGTATATGTATAACAACCTTGCTTAGCATATGGGAACCAATGTACGTCTCAAAGCAGCTACAACTCAGCATTTTTCTCAATGAGTGTGTCTGTGTGAGTGTTTGCTCTCCCTCTGCCCAGGTGTGTCTCCCACACACACTCTAGCTCGTCTTGTCTTTTGTTTGAGAAAGCGCCGCCTCAACTTCCTTTATGTTCATTATAGCAGAAGAGTGAGGTTGTTGGATTAGTGAAGGTCAGATGCTGTCCTGGGAATCGCCTGCCCTTTCCTGCTCTTTCACATCCTGATAAGACCGGCAGGCACACTCCGGAGCGGAGGGCAGCGCCACGCGGCTTAACCTTTCCCCCAGGCCTGACACACTGATCAATGTGTTGCTTCACGGCAGAGTGATCTGCTCATGTCCCTCACATCCCGACAACCACACACACATATGCTTCATTACGTTGTGAAGTTAGATGTGAGGAACATTGCATAGTAACATAGACTTGGACTTTCCACGGGTCCTAAATGGATCCAAACAAACAACCTTGTAACTTTTACTTAATCATTCAGTTTGTCAGAGCACACAGACCAGCTTGACACAACAACATTGGTTTAATCGACCAATGGCAGACATGGAAAGTGTTTGGGGAAATCTGTCTGAAAATGGATTGAAGTCTGTCAATACAGTACATTCAACAAAAAGTCAAATTTTACTCACCAATTTTACTCATTTGTTTGATCAAAAAATACAGTAATATTATTACAGATTAAAATAACTTATTATAACCTAATATACTTTATATACGTTACTCTATTCGTCTTCAGTGTCGCATGATCCTTCAGAAATAATTTGAATAAGCTCCTGCTCAAGAAACATTTCTTATTATATTCAATGTTAAAAACTGTTGTGCTGCTTAATATTTTTGTAGACCTGTGATGCATTTTCTTTCAAAACAACAGCGTTTATGCGCAATAGAACCTTTTGTAACATATAAATGTCTTTTGATTCATTTAATCCAACCTTGCTGAATAAAAGTATTAATTTCTTTCGCTAAATTCTTTCAAAAACATCTCACTGACCCAAAGGTAGGTGTGTGTTTGCGTGTTATATGCACATTGAATTGCCTGTTAAATTTCCCTGAATTACAGTTCAGTAAAATTCTGCTTCTTTTCATTCCGATTCCAGTTCAACCCTGATGGGAAGGAAAAGAAAAGAGAATAAAATATGTGTCCGGTTTAGACAGATGTGTAAGATGCTGGTTTTATGAGAAGGAGAGAGGAACTCTGGGGAGAGGTAAACATTTCATAGCTCTCTCCGGATCCCACACTTTGGTCCTCGTTTCATTCCCTTCTGTCCTTTTAAAGAGATTTAGTGGGGTTTGGGAAATCATAGTCCCTTTCTCTTTTTTTGTATGTAGTTGTTTTTAATAGCAAGCTCACAATAAGTTTGAGTAGGTGCCAGTTTAAGCACATTAAGCAGAAGTTCACCTATCACTTAGAGGGGTCACCAAGGGAACATATACAGGAAAATGTTATTTCCCTTGTATGTAATTAGTCATTAAGCTGATGCTTTTATCCAAAGCGACTTCCAGTGCACTACAGAAACAATCCACCTGGAGTTTAGTTGCTCAAGGCAGTGTTTCACAAATCCTGTGACGTCACAAGCACTGATGTTATGTTATTTTGTGCTAAAGTAATGCTTTTGGCCTGCCTTTCTTGTCTTTATTGAATGCCACATGTTCTTGTTATCTTATCACATTTAATTTGGACTGCAAACTCAAGGAAAATATGATTTCTTTTGCCATGTAGCTGTGAAAGTGTAGATGCAGCACCACTGAAAAACTGAGCTGAAATCTACAAACTTTTGGTTTCCATTTCAGATAATCACTACACAACACCAGCCCTTATATTAATTTGCAAGTATCTTGTATGATGTGATCTAACAGCCATATATTGGCCCTTTCTTTTAAGATCATCTAAAACAAAATATAGCATTAGCGTATCTAAGTAATGTCGGTCAAGTCAAATTCCCTTTATTTACGATCAGTATATAGCGTAAACATAATTCAAGGATGCACACAGTTAATTTCGGCTGTACAGCAGCTCTAAAAGAAAATAGGGAAAAGAATACTGTTCCGTCATTTATGTATAACTTCACAGGAACACATGAGTAATGTGGTATTAACATAGTAACTGCTATTAACTAACAAGAAACTCTCAATTTATTAATTATTAAGGAATAATGCTTAGTTGAATGAGGTAGTTCACTATTATCTAATCAATAACTAATATTTTTTTCATACCTCCCAGAGGGCTATTAAATTATTAATAATTAGTTCACTTCAGAATTAAAAATTACTGATAACTTACTCACCCCCATCCATCATCCAAGATGTTCATGTCTTTCTTTCTTTCTTTCTTTCTTCAATCAAAAAGAAATTAAGGTTTTTGAGGAAAAATCCTGGAATGTTTTCCTCAAAAAACAATTTTCGACTGAAGAAAGAAAGATGATGTGGGGGTGATTTTTATTTTTTTATTCTGAAGTGAACGATACAGGTTCATAATTAATGTGAATAATGTACGATTAATTCTAAAGTGAAAATTATGGCAACCCACTATTATTGACTCAAGTGTTTACTACATCCTTCTAAAGGAATTACTAATAATTTTATCAGTATTCGAAAGTGAACAGCTTGAACAGAAGTCATTGTAAGCTTTGACTTTTGAAGGTTTTGGACAGTAACTTCTGATGGATTTGGTGAGACGTGAGTAATTGCTTGTGGATTACAATGATCTTCACTTTTTAGAAGGATGTTACAGTTGAGTCAATAGTAGTGGGTTGCCATGCTCTTCACTTTAAAATACTGATCCAAATGGCCAGTAAGTCCTTTAGAAAGATTTAGTAACCCTTTTGACTATCCAAAAACATACAAAACCTCAAAAGCTTTGTGTCTCCAGTCATTACTAGAGTTTTCAAGCTTTTCACTTTAGAATACTCTGCCAAATAATTAGTAGTTCCTTCTGAAGGATTTGGTAATACTTGAGCCATTACTAGTAGGTGACCATGATCTTTACTTGGTTATGAACCTGACCTGTTAATAATAGTTCTTACTTGTCCTCTGCTCATTTTTATTAAGATGAGTTTGACTGGTTTTGTGTCCATTTTAGGCTTGATTTTATAGATGCACCCCATTAAGTGGTAATCTTGGGCAATCAAGAGAAATACTATGCTGTTGTGAGATGTCCCTGCTTTTATGAGCTGTGTGGCAGTTTGGATTGGGATGTAGTTTTGGAATATTTTTGCTGTTGTTGTTGTTGTTGTAGTTCTTCACAATATGGTGTGGAGAGTTTTTGACTGATAAATGTTTCCCAGTTTGCACAACAGGGGAGGAGAGATCAGGATGGGGAAATGCTCCTCTCCCCAACACCACACTGAGCATCTCACAGCTATACTGACAAAAACATACAAATGCAAATAAGCACACTCACACATACACAAACGCAAACACAGACTCATACAAATATTCATGCCATGCGAGATCTCAAGCCAGACTGGCATTGGCTGCATTCTCTATGGTTAATCACATTAGACACAGCACAGATCAAAGCTATGGGATGCCAATCTCTGTGCCACCCTAGTGACGGGGTAATGCCCATCGGCACATTCCACCAATATGGTACACTTTGGTTCCCCATTACTTTTTTATTTTTTAACTCAGAGTCATAACTTTCATGTTTTTGTGTTGGGTAAGTTACTCTTTATATGTTCAATGGAGTATTTAGATTACTGTACTAATTACTGTCTCTAAAAAACTGCTCTTTTAAAGGGGTCATGACATGAGAATTTCCTATTGATCTTTGACATTCAAGAGGTCTTTGACCATTAAAATATCCTGCAAGTTTAATCGCTCAAAGAGACCTCATTAAAAACAAAGCATTTATTCAAGCACAAAAAAACAGCTCGTCTTGGATATTGGGGGACATGTGATGTCACATATGGCTGCCTCCAGAGCAAGACATCGTCGAATAGTTATATGTCATCACACCACTAGCATTTAGACACTAACGGCTGACACTTGCCTACACCGGATTTGAGGATCACGTCAAAAGCAAAT